TAAAAATGACTTTTCCAATCTCTCTAGTAAAATTTCGTGGTCGATGGTATCGAACGCTGCTGACAAATCAAGCAGAACCAAAACACAGACTTTTTTATTATCGATTTCATTTAAAACATCTGATGATACCTTTAAAAGAGCGGTTTCCGTACTGTGGTGCCTTTTATAAGCAGATTGAAAAGGTTCTTCCATGTCACTGGCCTTTAGATGTTGTTAGATGTTTAGATATAAGATTGTGATTATACCTGATAAAACTGTAACTTTATCAACTCACCCCATCATCATCGACGCCAGCCCATGCAAGCGCCAGATTGAACTTGCTTTCATTCAAGAAGGTATACTGTGGAGAAGTACAAGCAAACCATGAATTTTCTCAGCAAAAACATTTTTATGAATTACGTCTCTAATTAAACTAGACCTTCATTCATCACAAAAATATGTGTCACGAAATGGTGGAATTGGGCACTCATTAATTTTTGGACATACGAAAGTTAAATTCTATAGAATCTTTAAAAAGTTAAAGCTTGTACATTTTTTGTCTTGCTTTAAGTGAAAAAAATACTTATGTCTATCTTTAATAGAAGTCGAGATCTTTGTGATTGAAGGAGGTGGGGTCACCAGATGTTGGAGGTAAAGGCAGAGAGAAAATGGCCACCAAAGTTTGGTGACTTCCAAGGCTTGAGCGTTCAATGGAAACTGTAAATACGTTTTGAGCATTTCATGGTTTTCACTTACAACATTAGAAACAGGTGGCATTATTGACTAAACTTAAGATTTGGCATTATTTTACTTTCACTACCGCTATGCTTGTTCATTTTCAACCGTTTTACATGAATTGACTTTATACTTTTTTCAAATTAAAAGCGTTTGAGTTTGAAATGTTTGTTGCTCTTTATTCAAACTATATCACACTAAACCTAATAATTGCGTAGTAATTTCTGCGCTTTGGACCATCCAAGCACATAATTTTTGTATTGAAATTTCCTTGAGAATAATTGATTTACGACAGTTCTAGTGGTCATGTCTGTGATTTGGGCAGCAAAAAAATACTGCAGTTTGATCCTCAAACAAAGCAATGCATGTTCTCTGTGCGGGAGTGAAATACCAAATTTTAGCCCATCTGTCCTGTGTATAATAATTAATGTCTTAATCGAGATGGTAGTGTTAATGCCACAGAGTGACGCTGTGACAACTAATGTGGTGTTAATTGCGACAGAGAGTGAACACGGAGCTCTTTTACGTTGATGATTAGAATCTAGCATCATCTAGATCTACCAATTCCATTTTGCTTCCCAGCCTGATGGTCCTAGGCCTAGTTATCTAATCTCCACAACTGACAAGGAAGGCTTTCTAGAGCAGGCATTCAAATATTATGACAAATTTGACAAAGCTTTTATTTTGCTAAATTTAAAGATGAAAATTTTGTTGCCTTTAGGAAGAAATCATCTGAAACAGTTGAGAAGGCGAGCTTAAAGTTGGCAAAAATCCACAAAGACTTTCAGTACAGTAGAGTAGACTTTCTGTCTGTACACATTATAGACAGCCCAAATATTGATGCAACAAACAATAGAACTAAGAACAGAACGTCAGCAGCATACAACAGTACAGCAAAAACAAAAACCACTAAGGGCAACAACAGCAACAACAACAACAACAAGAAAAGAGCTGCAACTGTCTTTGTTCGTTAGTATGGTGTGTGTGTGTGTGTGTGTGTGTGTGTG